TCCGCTCGTCGCTTCCTGTCCATCGACGCCTATGTTCTCAGAGACGAAGAACACGCACCTACATGCCACGACTCGGCGCTCAATATGGTCCGTTCGCGCACTCTGTCCAGCTGGGTGCCTCCACGATAAAGGTACCTGCAACGATCATATGGGTGACTGCAGCGAGCCAGCCAGGGGTCCATAGTGGAGAGTCTTCAAGTGTTCGCGATCGGCGGCGGGTGAGGCCGTAGGTTGACATGCAGGTGAGTGCGCCTCCCTTCGGTGACGGTGAGACTCCGCGTCGTGTGGAGGGAAAGAGCGAGGGGTGCATTGAGCAAGACAGCAGAGGCACTGCGATGCGAGTCGTGAACGCTCCTCGCGCGCATCGTGCTCACAGTCGCGCAGACGGATGTCGACGGACAGACCGTGTACATAGCGCGCGAATATATTTCTTTTCACAGGAAGCTTGGATGACCGCAGATAATGTGAGAGATGGGGGCTGGTACATGGCAGATAGGGCTCAAAGTATAGCCCATACACAGAGGGACTCGCGTTGGTCGTTTTGAAGCACACAAGACGAGCTCTCGCAAATCCGTCCATTTCCATTTCGTCTCCTCTCTAACACGCTACTAACATTACTTATATATCCTAAAGCATGTAACTCCATCCAGCACTCACCTTTTCCCGCTCAGTAATGAGCATTTTCGCCGATTCCGAACCTCGTCTTCATCGTCTTTCTCTCTCCCTTTCATCCAACGTGATCCCAATCACCACCCGCCCATCAAGCCCACTCCGCGCCTTTCCAAAGACCATCCTGGCCGTCCATGATAGCATCTTTTTGTGCATAACCAGCTCGCTGCAATGGATACGGTCCATCGTTAACCTGACGCAATGAACGCGCCATGCTTGTTGACCTCGCGCTTGTCGGGCAGGGTGAGCGTCTTTTCAAGTCTGCTCTCGGTCGACGCTTTCTGACCATATCGGATGAGATCAGTAGAATGAAGACCTGGAAGGAAAGATCGGCGTACCTATCGACGTTATGGGCGCATGCGCGCCCACAAGCTCCGCAACTATCCACGGTAAGCACGGATGGCTACGCCATGGCTTACGTTCGGTCAGGATCGCGTGAGTATGCTGAGCGCGCCGGACTTGGAGGACATGCGACCGCTTCAAGGCATGCGATGACTCCGCGCGACCGTTATCCGGCGTGGATTGGCAAGCACCATGCAGGCTTGACATCGCGATGGTGAGTTTTGTTTGTACCGTGGTCTGGGAACGTGTCGTGAATGGCATGATGATCGTGTAGGTTGATATCGTGAGCAACGTGAAGCAGAGCATGATGCGCGTCCTGGAAACGCGGAAAATCGAGGGCACATGGGAGGCCGACGCGATGGTCGACAATCTACCACCATGTTACATCTCCGCGGCACGCGCCGGGTATAGAACTTGCTCGAATGACGCTGTGAGCATCCGTTGGGCCACAGGGACCAT